GAACTCAGTTTTTTGCACACCTGACAGTTGTGACGAAGACCACCGCAAAACACAATGATCAATAACACAAGATAAACGAACTTCAAAATGTCAGTTGACTATACCGCGGCGACAACAATTTTTAAGCAGAAGAGCTTTCAAGAGTAGCTGCTTATACTCACTTTGTACTTCTGAAGCAACCGTTTATTATCATGCAGTTGCCTCGGTTAAGAAATAACATGCCATCTGATAGTTTTGCATAACATAATTTTCAATTTGCTTTTAATTCTCTACAAGAAAGCGAAAAGATATGGTACCTTATGTAAGTTGTTGGTCATATTAAAAATGATCCTAATAATTAATATAATAATAACGAAAACTACAACTTCATACCCGTTTGCCAGGGTGTAGAAATATTTTTCAAAGAAACTCCACAGGCTACTATAATACTATTAACAAATATTATGAATTCCTCCTTCAATGGGTTTTACCAGTGGAACTTGCTGACGTTTCGCCAGTCATCGTGTGCGCTTATTCAGAGTTTAACTGAAACTGGTTTTCATTTCACTGTCAACCTGCTTATTAGCTCTTTGAGGGAAGCGGAATTAAATCAGGGACATGAACATTGACTCGGATGATTGATACTCATATTGGTGCACGGTACAAATCTGAGTCGCGCTGAAGATTGTTTGGTTCTTTAGAAATTCCTCTACCTATAAATTAGAAACATATTCCATATCCATATCGATTCTTAGATATTCTTACAAAGATAAAATTAGACATAATATTGGTTCATTCCGTTTACAGAAAACCTGCGCACTTCGATCGATACCTTAATCGGTTATCAACTATCTTGTTTACAGAGCTGTAAAACTATCTCATCCCGAATCGTTGATCCAGAGAATTACAATAGAGAAATAACTGCTCCTTTCTCAAATAATTTCACCACAACTCCCAAAGAAAATGAATCCTAAAGTAACCAACACTTGCCGCTATTGTTCTTCCTTATATTCAAAACATTACTGATCACATATCAAAAGTTCTTAAGAAATATAATGTTAGATTTGTGAAAACATCTTTCAACGTTTTCTATGCATCAAAGATAAAATTCCGTTTGAGACAATAGCAGTTTACAGCATTCAGAAGCAAAAATATCAATTAGGTTGCAACACATGAAAGGGCCAAAATAAAATTACTAAAAATACCAAAGAAAAATACGAGAATCCATAGAAATCTGTAAAGAACCAAACAATCTTCACCGCGAATCAGGTCTTTACCTTTCGCAATATGTGAATGAGATATTGTGCCTCCTTTAGCTCCGCCCCTTCAAATGGTAGAAGAAAATGTTTATGATAGACTTTACAACGTCCATACCTTGCCACATTGAAAATTATTATAACAAATTAAATAATAAATATAAACGAAGATTTCTTCATTTTATTGCAGTAGACTGATTTGTTGATCTGTTTGTTAAAATTAATTACAAAATATGCAATTTTAAACTTTCAGTCAGTGGTGCTTAAGAATGGGCCAATTTTTTAAAGATGACAGATTTTTTTACTGATTTAATTTCACGGTAACATTTTCGTTAGCCGACTTAGAAATTCCATTACGTTAGAGGAGCTCTTAGACGTCACTCTTCGCCCCATTAGAGCGCACCTTCGATCGCAGATTTAATTAAATCATTTAGCGAGGCAAGACACCATTACCGAATGTAATTGAATTTATCCGGAGTTTCAATGAATCTGCGATACAACATTAAACCGAAGATTATTTCCTAGTCGTCGATTCTATCGTTTCCACGAAAGATCCTTTGAATTCGGCATAAGTACTTGCGGTCCTTTCGATTCGAACAAATCCTACGAGATTGCGCCGGGACCCTTCTCTTTCGCAAGTCTCTGCTTGACCATCGATACCGTTCGACATTGAAAAAGAAATTATGTTTAACTTTTGGGATATGCTTTCTTGTATTTGCATGACTTGAATGAAATATGATGGACATTTTTTAAAATTTCATAAATAAGTAAAAATATTTACAATGTTTGATTTGCATCCCTAAAATTCTACAATATATTTACATTACATTACATTACAGATTACATTATTATATTGTGTGTATTCTGTGATTTGTATTTTTTTTTGGAATAATAATAATAATAATAATAGATATTATAATATTGTTAACTGGAATAAAAATATAGGTTTATTTAAAATAATATATTTTCATATTAAAAAATGTAATAATCAGGATTTTCCAGAAAAAAAACTTTAATTCGTTTCTTAAAAAATATGTAATAAATAGAATAAAAAGTAAAAAATAATCGTCTTTAAAAGTGAATGAATATTAAATATTTCTTTTATCTAGTAATTTAAAATGGCGACCTTATAATCAATCCATGAACCTCTCAAAGACAACAGCAATAAAAGTCCGAAAGTGATCAGCAATGCCCATCGCGCGTCCACTCTCGAAGAAACTATAAAAAATAGGGGCAGATGACGAAACTCGAGTTGGTTCATTAATATATTGCTTTAACTTATGAGTGCTTATTGAACATTCTAACCTTTCGAAACAATTGCTAATAAAATTTAAAATACTCGCGAATATCAAATGTAGAGTAAAAAATCGATAAGGTATCCTCTAATAAGTTAGAGAACTGCTTCAAATTTATTTATTATATATTATTTATTTAAAAAAAATATTTATTATTATTTATTTCAAAAAATGCACCGATATGAGTTTTGGTTATCGTTGTTGTTTTTGTTTGGTTTGGGAACAATCGGATGTTTTCGGAGATATTTCCCACGCCTTGAATTTTGACGAATGTCAATTCTGACGGTCATATCAGTATTCGTGTTGTTTCCCGAAAATGTACCCAAAAACTAACGGTCGTAGAAAAAGTATAGTATGCACCGCATTAGGTAAACTTTTTAAGTTACTTGTTTATTAACAAGAAAAAGATTTGTTCGATTCAATAAAACCACAGCCGAGCGTAAACAAAATGGACGCCTCTAAAACGAATCTATTTAACAACATATTCCGGTCCCCTCCAGTCCTTTTACCCCAAACACCGCCAGGTTTCTCGGCATCGGTAACACGCTTAGGACCGAAATCTATTTAAGGACTCTCCCGAGGGCAAGAGAATAGAAATTGTTGAGGATGAGATGAAATCTCCTGCTCGTGGATGCTTTTATCTCTTTTGTGACATTTTTGCGAGTACTTCATTGCCGAATGCGAAAAGCTAGTGCTTTCGACGAACCAGTTTCGCCCAGTTTAATATGCTCTCGAACATCAGTTGATAGCCGCCATAAGAATTCTCGCGATAAAGTTTCACTCTAGGCGCAAGTGATTTGATTCTTCAGCCTGTATTCCACAGTAAGAACGTCGTCACTAAAGCAAATTATTTGTAACAATCAAAGCGGAGCTCAATTGAAAATATTTAAAGCCGCATTTATGACGTAAGATATTGCTCAACGCTTAATTAAAATTTAAATTATTCAATTAAGGTCGTATTATATATATATATATATATATATATATATATATATATATATATATATATATATATATATATATATATATATATATATATATATATATATATATATATATATATATATAGGGTATTTCTTACCGTCTCTTACAAAAGGTAGGTGGAAAATTCTCACTCGATTTTAAGATGGAAAAGTGCAAACATTTTTTTCGGAATGTTGCTTCGTTTTCGAAATACGGGGCGCCGAAAAAATTGAATTAATTTTTTTTTATTATTAATTAGTGATATTACAGTTATATTTGGCACATATAATAAACTTCTCAATTAGTTCTCCGACGGAGATAATCAAAGTTTCTCAATAATTGATCAAAACAATATTGCTCTACCTTAACTGAAGAGACATCAGCAACATGATTCCTTGATCTAAAACCGCTATAGATACGACAAAAATGGAAAAAACGTAATTTTCTTAAAATTATTTTTTACATTAGATAAGATCAAAATATTATTTTCTCAACACCCTGTATTTCGCAAACAAGCCGACCTTTTGCGAGCTTAGATAACAACCTGTATATAAGCAAATTTGTTACAGCTCTGTGGGTCGTCTCTCGCATCTTCCTTGTTTTATTAATTCGTCTGGATGTCCTCCGCTTATTCTTCTATATGGTGTTTGCCAAATTAAAATCTTTTTTGGATAACTTTCGTCTGCGTCTCTCAATTTCTTCTGATTTCATCGTTTTTACATTCATTCTTGGTGTTATTTTGTTCTTTGTTAAAAAGTGGCTAATTTAACTATTCATCATATTAAAAATTTGAATTCAATTCAAGCCGTTATCGGAAACTTAAAAACCGACTTCATATGTTTTAGATAACATATCTATTTATTATGGATTATATTGATATATTGCCACAAAGCATAATTTTCTAATTTAATGAACTTAACTTTAATTTACCCTAATTTTGTGATCGTGTTCAAACCGATGGTCGTAATTTTGAAACACCCATACTATAATTATATTATAAGAATATTAGAATTTATTCTGTTCAGAGAGTCCATAAAATAAATGGTAACATTTAAGAATGAGGCGAGATACAAAAACAACTCAAGTAATGATAAAAGTAAATAATAAAAATTGCAAAAAAGACAGCGGTGGGACGTTAAAAGACCTTCTGGGATGGCACTGTGGCACAATTAGCCCGTTATTAATCACGTTGCCAAATTTCAACAAAATCGGGTAAAAAATATTTTACATATTCTAAAAAAGTCAGTTTTTTAATATTAAACATCACGGATCCTATCTATCTATCGTTAGAATTCATAATAAATAAAACTATGCAGCTACAGAATACATAGGAATGAAAGTGGAAGTATTCACGCAAAGGTGTCTATCCAATTTATCCTAAATTCCAGCAGAGAAGAGGGCGCATAGTTACAAACATTTAATCATATTTTGGGATATATATACGGAATGCTTTGCTCTTACATGGTTCGGAATTTGAATTTTTTAAAACACCGTCTCACAATTTTAGCGGCGATGGTTCCGAATGGAGTTTGCAATGGCAATTGTCCTTCGGAGGATGCGCAACCTAAAGCTGTTTCACGAGCCACTAATAACCACATCAACAAACCAAGAAAAGAGGCAGCTACTAAAAGAAATTACGACAACGATCACACGGTAAGCATCGACTACGCCACAGGGCTATAGCTATTTTTTTTTATTAAAAAAAAAATACTTGATGATATTAAAACAAATTATTTTATTTTATTTATTATTTTTTGCGTCTACTTAAAACGTTTTAAACAATATAGATGTAGGTGTACCGGGTGTCCTAGTAAGGGCAACGAAGTGAGTAAGTCGGTGGAGAGAAAATGCTGGAAACCAGTTTTTAAAATAGCCACCTGAACCCCTATTCGTGACACTAAGAGAAGGCTCCTATACAAAAATGAATGACGTGAGTATTTTGAACTGCAACAAGTTGACTTTTTACTAGGTAAAACCGAGAGAAACAACGAACCTCTAAAAGTTAATTCTGCAATCCTACCTACATAATTGTTCTGATTACTTATCCGGATGGTTTGGATAAATCTATACGGGTCTGGGGAACTTTAAATATCGCACAATTTGCAACTTTTACTTAAAATTAGTTCTACCAATGGGTTTTTCCTTCTGTATAATACCTAAAGTACACCGGCCTGGAAAACCTAAACTTTTTCCTGTCCTAAATTCGAAGACTGTGTATTTATATAATGGCCCTGTGCTACAATATTACGGGTGACGGTTTTTAGGGCAGATAACTCCTTGAAAACTAGCAATACCGTGTCAATATGCCCAAAGATGCAAGGTAATTTCTGAGGTTTCTGGTGACATTTTGACCACAATGCATATTACTCTTTTCTCGGAAGCATAAGAGCTGTGGAACTTCGTTTGAGAGCGTTTCTCTCAAAACTTATGTGATTTTTCCAAGTTAACTCTTTTAGCATAATTGAAACGCACTCGTTTAGGGCTTGTGTTCGGATTTATACTATTTTTACAATTGAATGGCTGATTGGAAGAATGATAACATTCCGGTGAAGCCTGATTCTGGGAAATCGAAAAAAACAGTTTATCTGCGAAACCGTTAATTTCACAAAGATGGTTATCATTGACCAATTGTACACATTGACAAAGTACATTTGATGTATCTTTTTTCCACTCAAAGTGCAAAAATTTAGGTAAAAAAAAATGAGGGCGTTAATGAAGAACTGATTTATTTAAGCAACCAACATTGTAAGAAATATTATTTATATGCTTCTTAGTCTTCTGGGTCACTGGTTTCTCTATTTGTAGTGGGAGTGGCCAGAATTTCATTATAGAAGGTCCTGTATTCTTCGTCTCAACACCTTTGACAATCTTTTTAAAGTATTGAGGCCACCAGCCTTTGAAATCAAATATGTCGGTATTTGTTAGCCGTTTTACTTGAAACTTGAGATTTTTCTTCATGGAAGACGTAATGATATCGTTGTATTGTTCTGGAGAGTAAATTCGGTCAAACTATCTTAAAGAGCGCTTGATAACAGAAAAGTTTCTATGGCAATGCAAAAAACTATGACCTCGAATTGTAAAATATTGATAGATAACTTCAAATCTGCCATTCATGGTCAGGGCAGTAAACAACCTGGTTAGAGTATGGTTGCGGTTTTGCCCAGCGCACGCATCACTAAAAACATGAAGGGTTCTGACTTCTTCATGAATATGTTGGGTGATAAATTCCAAAATGGTAGTACTGACTTCATTAGGGCCTCGCTGAGCATCTCTCTCTGTATGTCGCCATGACTGTGAACGTTAAAAACATAATACCAAAGTTTTCACAGATACAAAATTTCTTGAACTGGCATTAATGGAAGGGGAAGATTTCTCATATAATCAAACACTATGGCTCTAACGTCAGGTCTCCTTGATTTCTTGAAGTTTTTTGTAAAATTTGGATGCTCGTCTTTTATGAATCATAAGCTCTGCAACAGCGCACCTCTTTGCTGTTTCATTAAGAGTAGTCGACTTTATTTTTGCATTCAAGTCTTCACAAGTCGAGCAAATGTCGACTTGAGGCCTACCAAACCGGTACCCGTAGTTTTCCTGAAAATGTCTCAAATAATATTCATACTTGACGTAAATTTTCAAATCAGGATTTTCATTAGTGAAGAGCTCATACATCTTAGTGATGTTCAAACTTGGATCTAAGTAGGTAATTAACTTAGAAGAATAATGAGACTCTTTTTTTGGAAATGATTTGACATGGTCATCAATTTTGGCAACAATTGCGCCATCAAGTTTATTTGCACGATTTGCATGCCTTCCTCTCATGTCAAATGGTGAAGTTTCAGTTCCACGGAGCTTGGTTAAACGTTGTACGACTTTATTCGAGAGACCATGCAAACTCATGTACGCACTGCGGCAAATTTCAACCCTGCACGCACCTTTCATAGCAAAATATTTGAAAGTAGAATAATTTTGTCTACACTCTGCTGTTGCAGGACGATGTCTGGCAACATCGTATCTTTGTATTAGTCGCATACGATATGCTTCTTTTTCATTTTTTGACCGTCCGTTATAAACAATTTCAATTACTGAATGTTTTTCTTCAATAGTAAAATCTGCCATACATTTTTTACGGCACGTGCAACCCTGCCCGGTTATATTAGCATTAACTAGTTTACCTTTATGTGTAACAAACTGTGCTCCTGGTTGTCTAGCTAATTTTTCCCTTTCTTTTAGGTGAATCTTTTTGTTCAACTTTCGCCTTTTCCCTTCACGTTATCTATCCCTTGAGCTTCGTTCAGGCTTCCCGGATTTTGCGTAACTAGCGCGATCGGCAAAAAAGTTGTTAAAGCTTTCAGCTCATTGATCGGTCCTGTTTTCTTCATTCTTTTTTTACATTTCGAATATTGTTTTTTATTATTTTAAAGGTTTATTATTGTGTGTCCTTTTTTTCGTTTCTTAGTATTAATTTATTTTTTTTTAACTCGCTATGTCTATCTTACGCGAGCCGCCTCGATTAAAAAACTAAATAGATCGCGCAGTTCCCTACTTATCCACCTATTTTTTATATTCGACTGGGCATCACCTAGGCTTTTTCCAGGAATAGAGTATGATTTCTGTAAATATTTTTATAAAGCCTTCAGGTCGTGTGTTTAAACATGATCCCAACACTTCTAAATGTGATTCCAATCAATTTAACATATTTCTTGAATACATGTGTTTACTTTATTTTTAATAAAGTATCTGTGTACCTTGATAGAAACCTGTTCAGAAGCCTTTTGTATTTCGAAATTTAAACGTATTATCTGGACAGTATGATCAGATAAAAAAGTTTCAAAAATCTTGCTTTCCTAAACATAACAGAAATCGCGAAAAATGTTGTCGATGTATCTAGCAGATATTTTTGCAGTTCTTGTGGGTGTAAATATGGTTTGTTTTACTTTATATTTGGCCACTATTAACAAGATCAGTTAACAAGAAACTTATCTGAGCGAATTTTAATTTTTGGACATATACGAAGAAAGTTGCCTAGTAATTTATAAAACGTTCAAACAAACAACAAAACAACAACGAAAACCTAGGGTACATAGGAAACGAAAGAACGAAACCCGGCTTGCGCAACTTTGACAGCAATAAAAGGAAAAATGTTTGAAAGCTTCAAAACAATCGCATTCTGAGCGGATAATCTCAACTTCAGAGACTACACAATACAAAGAGAAAAGATCTCAAAAACCATTAATATCAATTTCAGATGGCCTAGTCAATAATTCTGTTCAGGTCATCTCGATTATGGGACATTTTCCTACTCAATCGCAATAGAAGCTCTAGACAGCTTATGGTAAGACTGAAGTCAACTTATCACACTCTTCTAGCAAGTGAGGAACTCTTGAAAGCTGTCAATTCATCATCTTTAGAACAAGTCCTTTTCAGACGGATGTTTTTCCAAATTTGCTCAAAGTTGTTGCTATGATTCCATAATTTTCAAACGCGGAAATCAAACTAATTTCGAAAATTGTCCTCCATTCTCCATGCTTAGTGTTTCTTCTAAAGTTCTGGAAATAATCATGCACAATCGAATTACGTCTTTTGCAAACAAATACGAAATTATACCGAATTCGCAGTACGCTTTTGAGGGCTTTAACGTCAACAGAGCTAATTATTGTGGACTTGATTAACTACATGTTGACAAAAATTGGTCATTGGTGAGTTTCTTGATTTCCAGTGCAGAAGCAAAATATGATGATATGATATCATTATCATGACGAAATGAACAGCTGATATTTCGAGCAATTTTTTTTAAGAGTCGCTAATTTCCAATGTACATAACAATAACAATGACAAAAATTTATGAATAACGCTTCCTATTATTCCTGTAAATTTAATTAGGCAATGACCTGATAGAAAAAGCCGAAATTCAAGATTGGTTGCTCGAATAAATAACATTTTCTTTGACGACTCCTGCTTGAAATGAAAGCTGCTGGAATTTGCCCACATATACAGAAATGGTAGTATGATAAATATGAAATTAAAGAAGTAGCTGCGAAATATGGGATAAATGTTTTGCGTTTTTCACCGTATCACTGTGTGCTTAATCTCATCAGGATGGTTTGGGATCAAGTAAAGCGATATGTGGCAATGACTCCATTTCAATACGCATTTCAAAATGTTACTGAACAAAATTGGAGTAATTATCTTCAACATGTCATAGAAAAAACTGAAAAGGAAATGTGGTCCGCTGAGAATCTTCAACAACGTGGATGAACTTATTATTATGAGAGCGACATTGAGTTATCCGATCTCGACCAAGAATAAAAAAATTACTGATGACTCCTAAAAATAAGGCAAAGTAAAAATGTTGAAATAAAATTCGGACCCGACCGGCGAAATTTGTTTGAGACCAAACTTGATTGTTGCCTGACACCAGCGGCGCTACGACTGGCAACGGTGCGCTCCATAAGACTCCAAACTGTATTCTTAGTGTGATTTAGAGTATAGTAATATTGAAGAACTTGTATTAAAAGTTTTTTCATATATTGTGGCGTAAACGTAACTAAATGGATCAATTGCACTAGTTATTTTGTCAAACGCGCTGAGAACCTGCTGAGTGTGCAAGACTCGCAACATATAACGATGGTAAGGATGCGCAGCGGTCAGTCAGTTGAAAATATTTATGTTGTAATCTTGTAAACTTGTAATTCGAATATAAAGCAATTTTTAAAAAAATCGGTCTTCACTTTTTACTACTCACACATTGCCTAGAGTATTTTATTTTGGCGAGAAAGCAGCTCGGCAGAAATAATTTCCATAAAACACGCATTTTAAGACTTATTTTCAATCTTCAGTCTCAAGAAGATTCCTGCCATTTTCATTTTGAAAAATTTATTGTATGTCAAAACAAAATAAAAAATTCACTGTGTGTTCCGAACATATCGCTACACAAAATAATTTTGCAACCAAACCACCAAAGCATAAAACTGCACACAGCACTTTCCGAAAAGTGTCTTTTATACTCGTGTATCACCTTGTGTAATCGTCTTCCCAATGAAGTAAAACAAACAAAAACTGTGAAACAGAGGCAAAATTAAGGAGATACTTGAAAGAAACTATATTATTGTGTGGCAAAATACATAATAAGTAAATTAATTCTTTTTCCTCGTTCAATGTCTCAATGTCTTCTATAAGTGAGTTGTCAAACCGTTTCTTCAACGATAGTAACGAACGTGTACTTTCAGGTGATAGAAGGAGTCGTGATCGACTGGGGTCACGGCTGGGGTTGGAGTCAAGAAGTGGCCACTCACACCTCTTACATACCCGACACTACCACAACGATCAGTTCGACGGTATTCTGTCACAGCGCCGAAGATTACAATATGGGCGGCTACGACGATATCGATTGGAGTGCTTTCGGCGATTTTTGTTTTTAAGACCAATTCGTAAACGCACAAGCTACAACGGTGACGAGGATTGACGTTTCCTAAAAAGAGCCGAATTTTGAAAACTATATTTTTCCCGGATATTTTTTAACATCAATTTACAAAAAAGTAGGGTAGCGTGTCGTGTGTCGAGAGCGTGAAAAATATTCTCTCTCATGACAAATAGATCCAAACGTTATATTTTTTTAACAGTTGAGCGATATTTATTTCAATTAAGGGTCGACAATGGTCGGCGGGATAATTTATATGCAATGGTGAACCAATTTCGATCGTAACAATTTTATATATACGTTATTAAGCTTAAAAAGGCACCAGTGGGCTAAACTTCGATTCTAGCATATAAAAAATAGCATTTCAAAAATACTTTATATCAACAACGTTTATTAACGTGAACGTGAAATTTATATATGTATAGGATTATCATTTATATTTCGCCACCCACCTACAGCAGTAACTACAGGTGAAAAATTGATATCGCCCATTATACAGGATGTCTCAAAATAAGTTATTACAAAAAACTTTTCTTTTTAATGGAACACCATAAATATACATGTTTTGTTTAAGGTCGTATTGGCTGTATTACCAATTGTTTTTCAGTTAATGTTACTATTTTAATTTTATCTCATTTTCACCTGAATTTTGTTATTATGTATTTTTATTCACTTAAGCTTGCAGTTCGCAACACACAATAGCTTGTCAAAAACTAATAAACTGGAATGTGAAAGTCAATTGAGAATAGAATGAAATATATCACTATATGTAGTGAGAGCGAGAACTATATACTTACACATAAAATTTATCATCAATTGCTAAAATCAAAAATACAAAAGAGAACTACCACCACCTTACTGAATGAAAAACTAACTAAGTGGAAAATGTTAAATAAATATAAATTTGATTTTTCTATTAAGCTATCGAACTTTCGCAAGAATTGATATTTATTTTTTGCTATGTGTAAAACAATTCTTTGACAACGCAATGTTGTTTATTGGACGCTATTACATTTGATACGTAATAATTGCGTATTATTAAAAATTACCCTCTGTGCATCATGTCGCACTGTGCGTAAATCTCTTAATTTAGCACACAAAATTTTAATGGTTCAGTTTTATCCACATTTAATGAAATATTTTCAAATGATTTGATAATTCGAAGGAATTTGTATATTTCTGTATAAAAACTTTTTATTTCAAATGAAAAGTAATACACTTCTTTAAAAAAAATAAATGACATATAACGTCTATGTGATAGATATAAGAGATAAAAATAATTTAATATTCTCTTATTAAAACTAATCGCAACTGTAATTTAAAGTCCTAACTAATGGCCAAATTATATTATTATTATATTGGCATAGTGATGGCTTTACTGCAGATCTCCTTTATTAAAAAAGCTAGCGTGTTGCGGCTTTCGTGACCAAAAGCAACTTTTTCACGAAATCAAAATGTCATAGCTCTTTTGGATTTTGGGTGATCCAAGACAGTCATGACACTGTACATTGCAGTCCTGAAACTGAGTTTACATTTGCTACTTTGAAACTCAGACGAGTTTTTAGTGGTCGGTAGAGGTTAGTTTACCTAAAACGGTATATGTAATCGAAGTAAATATAGTACATCTTTTTACATAGAAATCATTTTTCTATTATAATTTTGCAAAAAAAAAACAGTACCATCAGGAAATATATGACATTAAATAGTCAGATTTTATGGTGTAATGCGAAACCCCTGCATACAAGTTTTCATGTCGATATCTCAAACAACCGGAGCTATAAAGAATAAATAATTGCGCTGTATCTCTCTGATGAGCGACATTTTACTATGGCATATTTGGCTCAATATCATTGTTTTTGTGGGTTTAATGTTTTTGGTGTATTCAGATAATTAATACATGGATTGGATATTGGCATTTTAAAAAGTTAAACTTGAAACCCTGTATATTGAATACAAAGTGTTCCAATGGGAAGAGAAGAACAAGTATTGTTGGTCACTTATTAACCATACCCGTTCAATACACATAAAATAATTCTATGCACGAATAACGAATGAATAAATAAACTTAATGCCAGACTCGGAATTCCTTGGTATATCGGTTTAGGTTCCCTAAGGAACCGCCGTCTAAAAAGGGAAACTTTGCCGATTAGCTAAGATTGTCCGTTAGTCTGCTTTTCCTGTCAAGCTCTTGAAGAGCGCTACACATTGAGCACACATTGATTTCTTTATGAATGTTGAAAAGGAACTACAATAGGGCTTTAGGCGAAATTCATCATAAAACAAATAAAATAAAAATCTATCGCAACGGATATCTACTAAACATGATAAGTCATTTTGATTGGAAGGGTTAGAAAGTTTGCTATTCCTTCTTCTTACAGTGGTTAGAGTGGTAAAGGAGGGACGCGTAACAAAGCAGTTTATGAATTTCCTTACGGAGATACTGCCATGGACATATCTTGGTTTCTAAGCCATATGTATGAAGCATCTAGCAACATTAAATATTATCGCCATGTTTAATTGCCAAATTATTTTTAACATACGCTGGCTCCCAAAATCGATGATGGATTATTTGACAAGTGAAATTACTCAGTCGAAATCAGCCACAGAATTTTTTGTTTATCAAAATGAACAATATCTTTAGAAGTCTTGGACATTGACAGAAGAGACACATTCGAGATATCTGGAATATCTGGGTTACATCATGCGCAATGAATATCGACAGAGTCTGCAGCTCATCTTGCAGGGTGCGGTGCTAGGAAAAGAGGTTCTAGACAGAGCAGAATCTAATGGTGTCACAACTGGAGAAAGTGGTTCTCTCTCACTATCACTAGACTTTTCCGATCAGCACTTAACAAGGTCAGACCAGTCATGCTAGTTGCAGACATTCGCAATGAATAGGAACTTTAAGCATAAGAAGCTCATGCTGCAAAATACTTCCTTAAGTCAAAACGTCAGCATTTGAGCAGAGTTCCTCATATTATCTACAACTTTTTGACCTTTATCATACAAAAACGAGCGTAGTTGTTTTACACCATCTTGACCAAATCCTACATGATGTTTAAGCACAATGCTTTAATAAAAACTAGCTATTTCATTCATCTATTATCGTTACCTATACAACAATCAAAACATACACGCCTGCTTTATAGATTATATCAAGGTCATTGTGAGAGTGAGACCTACGTAAAGAAACTTTAGAAAAGAGAACGAAACTGATACTGCGACCAAAAAGGTGCAACACGAGTAAAATTGAACGGATAACAAATAGTCTTTATTCTGTATTATATACTAAATACGACCAGGACAGAGACACAACAATAAATAATCTACATTAATTAATTCATAAAATGGTCACTGTAAGTGAAGAATATAGAATGTCTTTGAACATAAGCAAAACAAAAAACATAGCAAAAAAAAACCGCAAAGGATAATGTATGTAAAGAACCAACCTATTTAAAAAGTAAGAGATTACAAACACCTAGACACAATCATTATTGAAAACAATGACAGCTACCAAGAAATACGAATCCGAATTGAGAGAGCGAGGAACACATTTACAAGGACAAAGGAGCTTTTGTTTTGCCGAGATCTAAACCTTTACCTGACAACACGACTGATGCGATGTCATGTTCTGTCTGTATTATATTATGAAATAGAAGTCTGGATACTGAAGGTAGCCGATTTGACAAGACGTGGACATGATAAGACGTGGATGTGTCGGAGAATTTTGAGGATTTCATGTGTAGGAAAATTAACCAACATGGAAGTGATGGGACGCATTCTTAAGAAGACAGAAGTTATAGCAACGATTAAGAGAAGAAAAGTCACGTTAAGAGGTGAGAAAAATATCGAGTTCTACATATCATTATGCGAAGAGATTTTTAGGAAGTAGAAGAAACTCATGGCAGAGGATCCTTAGAGAGTGGTTTAGATGCAGTAATAACGAACTAAGATCTCCAAAAAAAGGAAGATTAAAGTATATTATATCATAATACTCAGTGGTATTGTTTACTTGCGCTGTTGCGATGGTGTTGGAAAATAGTTAATAATATGTGTGTAATTAATGAAATAACGAGTGAACAGCAAAAGTGAATCATATTATGTTTTTTATGATATTTAGCATTTCATCCGTATTTGACAACTTAAGTTCAAAAAGTTCCTTAAACTTTTTATTATAAGTAAGGTAATATTTTTATGAAAAATAACCTCGCTAAGCGAAGCTTTGGATGATCCGAGCGGTTTATGTTAGCGAGAAAAATAACTTTCAATTTTTACAAGATTTAATAATGCAGAGTGAGGCGAACGTTCTTTCTAAACGATGATCGATCGTTTAATTCGGATAAAAGCACAAACGGTAGGGATTTTCCTAATGGAATATTTGCCACGTCCGAGATAATCGTGCTGATCGCGGCGCGGTCAGGGAGGCAACTTCGTGAATTTTAGTGAGGTTTAATCATTGCACTTTGCGATTTTCTAAATCATACCCAAACATCGGAAGGAATCTGTTTAAGACAACGTGATAAATAAAAAAGTTTTGCCTTTGCCATCTACTAAGGAATTGATATTGGGGAACAGAGAAATCATCTTAAAATCTTGGGGAGATTCGGTTCTTAACAACTCAACGCTTTTTTGAAGCTGTTTTTTGAATATTCATTTTCTTTCGTAACACGATTAAAGCAAGCGAACAATTTTGAGATTTTAAAGCTGATATGGAGCACCTGCAATTGGTGTGATCTTCTTTATCAGACATTTGCAGTTTTTAGCACCTAAAGATCAAAAGATTTAAAAATTTTAGGTTGCTGCACTTGATTTTTCACTGTTTCTTCGAGGTTTCTTTTTATGTATTTGACAAAATATAATCTGTTTAACCTTTCTTTCGCCCGTGCTATCCATTAAGGGTTTGAGATTGAAACTCTTGGAAAATACTCTGTCAGAAAAAAGAAGACTATCGATCTTAAAACCTCAATCAACACTCAGGTTCCTTCCTGAAGATTCCTTTCCTTCATGGAGTTCATACTACGCATGTCATATTTACAGATGAAAGAAGGTCTAGCGACGTTTTTTAAGATTTTAAAGCTAATTCTTGCGCGTCAGTGATGTTTTCATTAGATTTGCAATTCTTAGCCACTACAGAACAGAATATAACAAAATTTTAGAGTGTTAAACTCAGTTTTTGATAGTTTTCCAACATTTTTTATTTCTGTTTTTTCGAAAATTTATTGCACAGCTTAGTTTGATTATCGCAATTGTGTCTGACTTCGGTGTAGGTTTTTCATTAATTTTTTTGCTAAATTTTTTGAAGTTTTTTTGCTAATATTTAGTATTTTTGTCATTCATTTGCGATTCTTAGTTTCTAAAAAACAGAAAGATTTCAAAATGTTTGGATACTACCCTCAATTTTTGATTGTTTCTTCGAGGTTTTTAATTAATCTTTTACTCAGTGGTTTCCCATTGCTTGTATCTTTCTATCTAAGAATTTAGCTATTAAAATTTGAAAATTATCTGCTTCGTAAAAATTTATTAAATCTTAAAAAACAAAAGCAAA